CTGGCATGCGAAACCTTAAATTAGAGTGAATAAATGAAGACTCGGCACACCACTTCTGAAAGGTTTCCGACCCCTGAGCTAGTGATGGGATAAAAAGGTTGTCTCTAGAATGCAAGTTCCAAGTGCAATCCATATTACTGCAATAGCAAACAAAACTCTTCATTTGGTGAGCCATATGACATGAACTGATATTCTTATTCTGTTACATAGGGAGAAGTGTTATAGTTGGCTTCTCTGTAGAGAACAACTTTTGCCAAGGATTTTAATTTGCATAGAAACTGAATTATATTCTTATCTGTAAAAGTGGTCAAGGTTGTTACATTTGCAAGACAGTGAGGGCACAGCTGCTGCCTTTACTGTACTGTTCTCTGGGGGAAAACTTCAACTTAGCATCTTTCATAAGCATTTTATTTTATAAAAGAAAAAATAGGGTCCATAGTATAAAAACATTTGAATTTGTGTGTGCGTGCATGGTTTAATGTGGATTGATTTTCAGTATATAAACAGAGCTAAGAGAATTGGTGGGGAGGGGAACTGAGTAAGAGGTGGTGGTATTGCTGAGAGAATTCAAGAATCTACAGAGTTTTACATGCAAGCACTGCACTTCTTTAACTATACTTGTGTAGTTAAGAGAGTTCAACAATCACCCCGCTCCCCCCCAGTTTAGACTGTACAGTTATACCAATATAGCTAATAGGCTAAACTGATTTGACTGCATCCCCACAGTAGGGATGTGGTAATCCACAGAAGTTGCATTTGTATAACTATTTCAGTTAGGGGTATGATGATTATTATTTTTTAAATAGTTACATAGGTACAAAGTCTTTGTGTAGACCTATCCTAAGACAGTTCAGCTTCAGACAGTTCTCAAGAGTCCCCTCTGAGGTTGTGGACTACTACCTAATGAAATGTTTACATGACTGCAGACTATTTTATTGCATTGCTGTTCCTGTTATGAATTAAATCAGCTATTGATTTGATGTCACAGTGTAGTCGTATGAGGTAATAACTGAGTAAAAATTGGTCCTTTGTATGGGGCAAGTGTTGAAGCAGATATTTATGAAGTCATTGGGAGGTGAACTATCTCCAATTCAACAAGTTAATCATTAATACTTGGAGGATTTTCTTGCCCTGCTGTATTAGGAGGAGAACATCACCAGACAGACACTTAAATTATTTTATTTAATTAAAACAGCAACGTTATGTATTCTAGATTTTTTCTTCAACAGCAAACATATAATATTTTAACAAAATAAGCATAAGATTTTTTTTGAATTTAGTTAAACATTCAAGTTTTTTAAAATCAGGTTTGTTTTTGTTAAAATTGTTTTTAACTAAAATAGTTAAATGAAATATTTAAAAAAAATTTAATCGACTGTCAGCCAGGTCAACATGAGAAACTTAAAATAAAACCTCAAGACTTCTGGAATATGCTGCTCAAACAGTTTCACTTTTGTTTCTATTGCCTGTCCCTCCCTTCCCACATTTATCTCCAGACTTTTTCTCCTTGTCCAGATCGATTGTGCCCACAACAATCTTCTATTAATTTAACTTTTTGAAACTGCACTTTTAGAGAGAGGTAAGGGATTGACTCTGTGTACACAAATTTGCAGAGGGGCAAGAGGGTTGAGGTAGGTTAGTTAGCTAATTAGATAACTAACTAAACATTTTTGCTGTTAACAAGCATGTTATCTATAGAGACCCAAATCCACAGTTTGAGAACTGCAAAACTAAGCATCTCTTATGGTATCTTCTAGACTGAGCACTGAGTCTTAATTGGTAGATAGAAAGATTAACCTAAATAATCTATACAGAAGCCCCTGGAACCCCATAAGATTGGGTCCCTAATCCGTGAACTATTGGAACTTCTTTACAAAACATTCCATTAATATATTGTGTCATACTATATAATTAGAATTTATAATCCCTATTGCATGATGATATCTTTGAGCTATAATGTATCTTAATTACAACTATCTTTAGATAGGTTTTTTCCTCAAAAAGCATTTTATCAAAAAAATCTTTTTATTTGATTTTTTAAAATCATTGATTTTTATCCACCCTGAAAATAACTCTAAATAATACCTCTGAATTTGGAAAAAAAAAAAAAGTTTTGGTTTTGACCCTCATTTTCTTCTCTGTAACACATGAAATATTTTCTTTGAAATAGATACAAGCAACTATAAAACATGGCTGTATTTTAAAAATGTATTTACACTTAGGGTATCTCTACACTACAAAATTAGGTCGAATTTATAGAAGTCGTTTTTTAAAAATCGTTTTTATACAGTCGATCATGTGTGTCCCCACACAAAATGCTCTAAGTGCATTAAGTCGGCGGACTGCATCCACAGTACCGAGGCTAGCGTCAACTTCTGGAGCGTTGCACTGTGGGTAGCTATCCCACAGTTCCCACAGTCTCCGCCGCCCATTGGAATTCTGGGTTGAGATCCCAATGTCTGATGGGGCAAAAACAGTGTCACAGGTGATTCTGGGTACATGTCGTCAGCTCCCCCCTCCGTGAAAGCAATGGCACACAATCGTTTTGCGCCTTTTTTCCTGGGTTACCTGTGCAGACGCCAAACCATGGCAAGCATGGAGCCCGCTCGCTTCACCGTCACCGTATGTCTCCTGGGTGCTGGCAGACGTGGGACTGCATTGCTACACAACAGCAGCTCACTGCCTTTTGGCAGCAGACGGTGCATTACGACTGGTAGCCATCGTCGTCATGTTCCTGGGTGCTCTTTTAGCCGACCTCGGTCCGTCGGGTGCCTGGGCAGACATGAGAATGACTCAGCCAGGTCATTCCCATCTTCTGCCGAGCACCCAGGAGATGACGATGGCTAGCAGTCGAACTGCACCATCTGCTGCCAGCCTGAAGATGTAAAAGATAGATGGAGTGGATCAAAACAAGAAATAGACCCGATTTGTTTTGTATTCATTTGCTTCCTCCCTCCGTGAAATCAACGGCCTGCTAAACCCAGGGTTTTGAGTTCAATCATTGAGGGGGCCATTCTGTGTGACAGTTGTTTGTGTTTCTCCTTGATGCAAAGCCACCCCCTTTGTTGATTTTAATTCCCTGTAAGCCATGTAGTCAGTCGCCCCTCCCTCCGTCAGAGCAACGGCAGACAATCGTTTCGCGCCTTTTTGCAGCCCAGATGCCATAGCATTGGGATCATGGAGCCCGCTCAGATCACTGTGGCAATTATGAGCACTATAAGCA